ACGTATGATACGACTGTGTTTGTACAAGATTTGGGATTTTTTAATTGAACTGTAAATGTATGTAATGGTATGAATGCAACAATTAAACAGCATTTGGATTCTTTTGCAACTTGTCAACTCGTTTGAATGTTTGATAGAATTGTTTAATGATATATTGTTTCTGTTTACAGTATTGCCTGTACAACTCTGTCAGAAACATTGGTGTTAGTAGCCAAAAAAGGTTTCATTAAAGGCCATGTAAAGTATGTAATGTAAACAAACCGTCAAACCCTTTGTTTACATTCTGAACCCAGTGCTAAAGTTGTAAAATATTAGATATATAATATTATACTAAATTTTTAACACTCTTCTGGTTTGCTATGCTTGTAAATGAATACAGACTAGATATTCAATTCAAGAAAGTTCGGAAGGTACAAAATATTAATAACATATTTCCAGTGGTCGGGACCCTACTTCCAATGGGCCTGCAAAACGCATGTGCAGAACAGACTTTACATGGTCTTTAACAATAGCAGTATGTACTACGTACAGTATGTAATAATATGAATTTATATAATTTATACAATGGTTCCACTAAAATTGGTAAATAAATGATTGTCACCTATTCCACAGTCTTGGTGTGCCTGAGTGGTTATATAGTAATACTACCTGAAAAAAACAAGTAGAAACTCAACATTGGCTGCTAACTCTTGATGAACGGCTTTCGTTAGAAATGTCAAATTTCTGTTTGTTTTTTTCAGGTAGTACTATATATAAATATCAGATGTTCATTCTTGTAATGGCCAACTGAGTGTGTAACAAGTAACAATTGTATTTGAAGTCAAATGCTCAACAAAAACAACTTTACTTTTTCAGAATAAGACTACTAGAACCAAATTTTAGGTTTATTAGTAAACTATCATAATAACTTCATATATCTTTAACAATTTCAGGACCGCCGAAAGTAGGGATGCAGGCAAAATCCCAGCTCAAAGGGCCTCCAAAGCACAAAAAGTTGTGTCAGTGCCAGATAATATGCAGTAAAGTGTTATATATTGTAAAACACCTCTTCTCCCATTTAATAATTATGATGTCATAGGGACCCCTGGGAAAACTTAATGATGTCATATGCTTTCCCTGGAAAAGTTTTACTCTGGGCCATGCACAACCTCCCAGTGGTACCATAAAATGAATTGCAAGTTCTAAAAAACCTTTATTGATTTCAATAATGTGTCATTCTACACATCAACCTAACAAAGCAATACAAGCATAAAAGTATAATTATAAAAAGTACTTATTCAAGCAGGGCATTGTTATTAGTCAGGCCAGGTGTGATTCTTGATTCTTTAACCTAACTACTTTTTATCACATAACTAATGAGCGATGCCACTTTTCCAACAATACTATTCCTTTCTTGAGTATTTCATTATATTAGACTTCATTATAATGCAACATGCCAAGCTGTTTACTGTTCCAGAATACAGAACTGTATAATTTTGACTTGAAACTGATTTCCATTGTTTCCGGATGTACTGGCATTAATTGGCATAATAAAAAGATTATCATATGTACTATGTACTGCCCCAGGTGTATCTGAAAGAAATGTAATACTAAAGTTATAAAATAGTCAACCATTTAATAAACACACACAGGTATACTGCTACATGCTTTTGCTCAATTGCTACAGCAGTACCCTTCTTTATTGAGAAAAATATATTTATTTTATCATTGTATGAAGAACAATATTTGGTTTTAAATTCCCTAGGTATGATACGTTCATAATAATGCATGTATAATAGTAGGTAATAAATATTGGGTATGATCAACTCACAGGATGCTATTGAATTTCTGAAAATCTGCTGCATTTTTAGGGGGTACACAATTATCTTTTGTGGTATTCTAACTAGACTACAATTAGGTTGGAAATTCAGAGCGCAAGGTTCAAAAATTAACCTTGAAACAAAATAATGACATGATTCACATGAACAATATAAATTGTAACAAATTAAATAAGGCCACATAAAAAAAATTACTTGTTTAGCGTCCACCCATCTTAATTTTTCTAGGTCGGGCGGACGGATTTTTTTTTTTTTTTTTTCGTAAAATGCAACACAAAATTCTGCTAAATGCAGGAAGTCCAGTATATTACCACAGTCAAAACTCACTTTAATTCTTTCAAAATCCGTTCATGTTTTTTAACTTCCCGTTCATGTTTTTTAATAAAACAGAAAATTACCGTTTGGCGGTCACGCGCGAACACTTTAGCTGCGAACAGGCATATTCTGGGAAGGAAACTTTGTGTAAACGTATTACATAGCTCCCAGAAGAATAAAATCACCATTTTTTCAAGTAAAACGGTCTTTTTATAGAGAGTTTTTCCACTAAACTCGGACAAATTTAAAAAAAAAAATAAAAAAAAATTGGAGGTCGGGGACTTTTATCAGGTCGGGCGGGGACGCTAAACAAGTAATTTTTTTTATGTGGCCTAATTAAAGGCAACCAAGGCAGTGTGCAACAAGCAACGTTCTTGCTCAAGAATAGCCTATTTAATAAAGCTGAGAGTTATTAAATTACTTAATATAACAAATAATTAAACGTACTCATACCTTAAGAAGAAATCAGAACATTTTGAATGGAACAGAAGCCATTTGAGACAAAATATTTGATCGATGACTCGATGAGTGTTGACATGTGTACAAGCCGGTGTTTCAATCATCTCAAATTACTTGTGAAACGGAAATCACACCTGCACTCAGTATCCTTGTTGTTCGCACTAACTGCGCCGAACATATTTTAATGTTTTTCACGGGAAAAATTGCGATTTCATTGATATTTTCAGCAAAAAGTTAGCTCTCCACTCCTCTTGAAAATACTATGGCGCGCGCGATTCCCGGAGAATGGGTACGAAATAGTTAATTGGAAAATACTGTACTTTTACCGTATTTTCTAATTAACTCAACTCGTGTGGCCAGAGCCACTCAACGATGGCTCTGGGTACGAGATTGAGATAAATCCAATAAATGATATCAACCTCGTACCCAGGGCTTCTGCGCTTATACACTGCTCTCAGAAGAGAGAGCAATAAGCGCGGAAGCCCTGCGCAGAAGACCTTATTTTAATAGCCCCAGCGACTAAACGCTCAACAGAGCGTCTTGTTTGTTGTTTAATATGTGTATTATCGACGAGAGTGAGTGGAATAACTGTTTTATTACATGCACAAGGTCTGAATTCACAGACTTTGCTTTTCGGATATTTTCAATATTTTTCTATTTTATTTATGTTTTTATCTTCGCTCTTTCGGCTGATTATTTTTTCAAAAATATATATAAATATATATCTTCGGATCGGATCGGATTGGAATTCTTTATCAAAACTCGGATCGGATTCGGATTAGACAATTTCGGATCGGATCGGATTTTAAACATTGGGCAGTTATCGGATTATAAAAGTCCAATCTGATCCGATGCACACCTCTAGTACCTGATTTCCTGCTAGTAGTGAAGCCCTCTACCCTGGCGGCGGAAGTAATTAGTATGCAAGCTTAGGTGTCGGAAGTAATTAGTATGCAAGATATGTGACGCAACTTTGCTGGCCCTAACCCTAACCCTGGGCCAGGTAGCGCGACCAATTAACGCGGGCAAGTCTGGGCCAACTGTGACGGATAGCGCGACCAATTAACGCGGGCAGGTCTGGGCCAACTGCGGCAGGCGATCGATTAGCATCATAGTAACGAGACCAATTAGCGGCACAACACAGTAGCGCGACCAAACAAATTATCAGAGATTATAAATATCGTGTATCAAACACACGTTTCATTTCTCACTGTTGCATTTTGGCGAGTGGTCTCTGGTTTTCTCAAGTGTTGTCTGGTTCTGAAGTGTTCTCTGCTTTTGGATTGCGTTGGATTGTTTTTTTTAAATGGCTCATACGGTAAGGAAACGTAGCGTTTTGAATATATGTTTACGATAGTTTCAGAGTCATAGGCTGGATAAAATTTGTTTTTGAATATATGTTTACAATAGTTTTAGATTAATATGTTTATGATATTTCTAGATTAATATGTTGGATCTTATCAAAGCTTGTGAAGCTGAAAGTGAACTCGACTTTCTCCAAGAGTCGTTTGTGCTTACTGATGAGCAGAAGGAAGCTGTTCTTCAACAGCGCATTATATTTTGGACGAACGCGATGGCCGAAGATATTGAACGGGAGAATCCGGTTGGAGTTGACCCTGATATGATGGCAAACTGGACCGAGGATCAACGTCGCCTGTTCAACGAAGACTGGGCCAATGATGATGGTTTGTGCGAACTTGAACAGATGCCAGAAAACCAAATAGGTGAAGGGAGCAAGCGAGGGCACGCCAGTGATGACGCCCCCTCAAAGCGCCAAAGACCTGAGGAGTATTTCACTATTAAATCAGCCAAGCAAGTCAACGTGAGGAAATTCAGGACGACAGGTACACAAACTGTATTTATATTTTTAAGCGTAACATCGGCTACGTATGGGATATAGATTGTTATGTACGAGTAAGGTTTCGTTAGGCTCCATTTACACTATACCGGATTGCTATCGGAGTGGGTCAAATTTTGTAGCTATCGAAAGGTTGTGAAGATTTTAATCTCAGAGGCCCAAATAAACATGCCAATTCTGTCAAACTAATAAGCATTTGCTACTAGCCATTGCTCGGTAACGGCAAAAGAAGATGTAGTGACCAGCGAATCCGGTATAGTGTAAACCGGGGCTTATAAGAGTTTACATCTGTAGCTGGCTGTACAAAGGATGTCCAACAAATAAGCTTTTTATAAATGGTCATAACTCTCAAATGAAGCATACAGGGCTTACGATTTAAATTGCAGCTAAATGTTTCAAGTAGCACTATCCGGTAAATAGCGAACTTAAGACCTACGACGCGGCTGGCTCAACGACACGCTTGTGAAAGAAAGAAATTTGTTATGCAAGACAAAAACTATCAATAATTCGTGGTCTCAGGGGTATTTTCAAAGGCTTTGTCGTGCTAAACAAAACGTTAAACTAAGCATTATCACGACTTTCACGCAAGGTGAACGCTTATTGCGACCCTAAAGCCGTCTTAAAGTCGAAATTACAGCAAACACTGCATCGCTTTAGTCGAACTTAGCAGTTTTTAAGGTTATTTGAAAAATCTTCAAACATTTATTACAGTAATGTAATTGCTTAGGGCTCATTCTTGAACTGAAATTCAGACCGCGTCGTTGAGCTGGCGCGTCATAGATCTTGAGCTCTCTATTAGTGTTGTTTGTACACCCTCCCGTTTTTAGGTATCCAGATTATTCTATATTACAGGGTAATCATGTAACAATGATCTATATAATGATTATTGCTACAAAAATAACGCAATGGTGTAAACGCGCCACATTTACCTTGGCCAGTAGACCAAGGCTTGTAGTGTAAACACGACTCATGAAATGTTGGGTGTTTAAGGTTACTTCTTACCAACTATAGTCTTTCTGAATCCTATTAGTCTAGGACCTGTATAGATGTTTGTATGCATTTCATTTAGCACAGGTAATCTCAACTGTTTTAGGGTAAAATGACCATGGCGGTCAACATGGCATATGTGCCAAAACCTGAATCCGGGGCGAAAGTCCTGAAAATGACCCCGCCCTGAAACGGCAGTGCCGACATAGCTCTAACTTCTGAAAAGCAAAAGCGACAGCTTTTCTGAAGTGCTTATAGTGTTTAGAAGGGTTGCTTTTAGGGGTGGTCATTGGAAGGAAAAATTTGTCTGAGTATAATATTTTACCAGAAAATGACTATGCACCACCTCAGGTAAATTGCTGATTATGCACAAAATAACTAATATGCCTGGCAGAAATTTAATGTTCTTATTTCCTAAAAAAAATTATCATGGCATGAAAAACTATGCTTAATTTAATATAATTATTGTAGTTTTCATAAGGATTGTCATTGTTTTCTTTAAATATAATACATTTTAATTCACTCACCCCCATGAAAACACCATTTCAGCCATACTTTGCCGTTTTGTTTGCTTTTTATCGCCGAGTCTCGCAGATATCATCCAGTTGTTGTACTTTTACATAATGATAGATGGCTAAAGACGATTTCGACGAAGTTTAATGAAGTTTTGAAACAGTGCAGTATATTTTATCTTCGATATTGTGTCCTTCGATATTTCGTCAAATTGCCGCCATGTTAATGGCTCGCCGCTTCTCTGCCCGATAAATGCCACTTCTTCGTCTTCCTATGTGTTTAGACTACAGTATCCAAGAGTACTTCATTGTAGAATAGTCCCAATCGAAAGAATGAAAACATTAGTTGGGTTTTCATGCCAAAACCCTCCTTCGCGAAAACTTCTCGTGGACACATGACAGGGGGGGGGTGAATATTTTCACGAAACGTTTGTTCGCCACCACAGCAACTTAAAATATATTGTATTTATTGTATTTTTATGAATTATGATAAAAACAACAAATACTTGGGTTGTTTTATCATAATTCATAAAAATACAATAAATACAATATATTTTAGGTTGCTGTGGTGGCGAACAAACGTTTCGTGAAAATATTCACCCCCCCCTGTCATGTGTCCACGAGAAGTTTTCGCGAAGATTGCGGGTGACTTTCAAATGCTTTGTATTTTATTTTGAACCTAAATGATTACCTGGAGGGTTTTGGCATGAAAACCCAACTAATGTTTTCATTCTTTCGATTGGGACTATTCTACAATGAAGTACTCTTGGATACTGTAGTCTAAACACAT